CTTTTTTTTGCACCTCCATTTTTCCCCCCCTTTTATTCTAATTTTTTTTTTGAAAAAAAAAAAAAAAAAAAAAAAAAAAAAATATATATATATATATATATATATATATATATATATATATATATATATAGAAAAAAATGTTAGAATTTAAGTGTGTATAGCCAACTAACTTTCAGCTGCATTTGCAACAAATGTTAGTTCTGTAAAATATTGACTCAGGGGAACTGAATACAATTTCAAACGACACTTTTCAGATTTGTTTTTGGATTTATATGATCCATTTATACATCTACTGGCTTTCTTCCTTCCATTCTGACTGGCTGAAAATATCTGAGAACTCGAGAAATATGAGTGTGGTAAACTATGGAATCTTGACAGAAAAATGTTTAGGACAAGGATCCTGCAATGAATCATCCCTTTACTTCACTCTAGCACTCTGTGTCTTTGGATCTGTTTTCCAAAATGTATGTATTAATTGATCAAATGTTTTATTGATGGTCTAGGTGTTCAGCTCTTAGCAGGGCCCAGCAGACAGAGATCCAGACAGATCTCAATAAGTACCTCATGAAAAACTGCCTGGGAGACTTATGTGTGCTTGCTGCAGTGGACTGGGTGAAAGAAAACGTGGTACATTTCATTAAGAAGAGCTTGTCAACAGCACCGGCTCCTAAGCTGGAGTCTGCTTCTCAACCTCCGCGAGAAGTTTTCAGTCGACTGTGGATCTACAGCCACCACATCTACAACAAGTCAAAGAGGAAGAACATTTTGGAGTGGTCAAAAGAGTTGGGCCTCTCAGGATTCAGCATGCCTGGAAAGCCTGGCATTGTGTGTGTTGAAGGTCCTCAATCTGCCTGTGAGGAATTTTGGTCCAGGTGCTTTTTTGATTACTTCTACTTTTTGAGAATTTTGTAACAGAAAAAAAAGATTGCCATTTGTTAAAAAACTACTTTTTTTATTTCAGAGTGAAGGTTCTGACATGGAAGAAGATCATGATTCGACACAGAGAGGATATTACCCTTAATCGCCAAGGCGACAACAGCAACACTGTTGAGAGTTTAGACTCCCTCCACAAATTCACAGGCTTTGAAGAGGCGATGTTTGACCCTCATGGGAACAGAGGCAATCACATGGACCTTGGACAGCTCTACCAGTTCTTAAATGAGAAGGGCTGCTGTGATGTCTTTCAGATTTATTTTGGCATTGAAGGCAGGTAGCAGTCAACGTCTGTGCACAGGTTGTGATAAAAGTAAAATAAATTATTTTTTTTTTGTTTTATTAAAGCAGCTCCAATGATAAAAATACAGAAAGAATTACATTGACATTTTAGAGATTATTTCCTTATTTTGGCAAAACTAAAGAAAACGGATGGAAATAAAAATGATGGCTCACTGGCAGATCCCCAGTATGTTCCTAATATTAATTTCCATTGTTTTTAGTTTTATTTTGATGCATGATTTCCATTTTTAAACAAGCTGTTCTTACAGCAAAATCTCCTTGTACTGTATGAAATGTCTTTATAGATATTTGCTGAACAATTTGTGAAAATCAGTTTACAGTATTAATGTGTTTTAACTTGTAAAAAAAAAAAATCATTTTTAGCACAATTGTTTCAAAGTATAGACATCATTATCCAGATTTTTACCTGATCACTGAAAATGTATTTTAGCACTTCGTTTTCAGATTGACTACTAAATGCCAGAAAGTCCTGTTGAATTAAATTTTAACAATTAACATTTTTACATGAATGCAAAGTTTTAATTTACAAACTAAAAGTGTCCAGCAGATGGCACTAATAGATAGTGGAAATGCAAACATTGCATTCTGAGAACTTGGATTATACGAACTCGAACACTTGTAACAGTAGCCATGTGGTTGTTAAATGTTCATTTTGTATAATAACATATTAATCCAAATCAATGTTGCATATTTCATTTATAGTTAACAATCCAGTTATTTAATCTGGTAAGCCCTTTTCAGACAGATATCCAAAGAAAGTAATTTATACTTGCATACTTAATTTGATGATTACCACTTGTCTCAAGGTATCTTGTTGAAATAAACTATCTGGTCTTGTTGTCTTTGCATTCTTGGCATCGAGGAAAATTTTGTTCTGGTGTGATTTGGTCTCTGTTAGGGTTGCCCCATGTCGTCAAATCTGTTTGTGGTTTTTCATTGACTAGATCTCAAGGCATCATCATGAACAAAATGTTTGTTTGGGAAACATCAGGGTCTCATCTTTGCTTTTTGCAGATGATGTGGTCGTATTTTGACCTTCAGTTTGAGGTGAAAAAGTTCACAGCAAATGTGAAACAGGTGAAATGAAATCCAACTCTAAATCTGAGCCCATGGTTCTAAACAGGAAGAAGATGGAGTGATTCCTTGTGGTTTAAGTATGCTGGTTTAGTTTTCTTCAATTTGTTTTGGTCACACCTAAATAATTGAGATAGTCAGACAAAGATCGCACAAGCATATCTAAAATGCTGTTTTTAAATTATTTTCATTTAATTTTAAACATACTATCCAGCCAAACCTGGCCATATGTAATAAGTAATCACTTCTTTTGTGAAATCATAAATTAACTGAATTAACCAACATTTCTTAGGAAGATGTACAGTATCAGTTTTACTAACTTAATTCATTTATTATTGCCAAAGTTATAGGGAAGAAAAACCTTTATTCGAACCTGAATGACAAAGTGAAGTAGGATAAAATATTGATAAGAAAAAGAAACAACTCTAAATATGAATATGATATTAAACTTAATTTTTCACAGCAGGCTTTCTTGGTGATTGTGAAGACCAAACTACTAGTTTGAATTCAGACTATCCCTGCATTTATTTACCGAGATTCCTTCTACGAGATACCAAACCCATCGCTACTCATTGCATGTTCTTTGCTTTCCTCACTCAATTTCAGATAACAGTTTTCGCTAAATAAACACTACCCTCCAAACACTGGGCATCTGTGAGCATCTTTTTGTGGCTTATTAAGATTGGCCAGTTCTCTTCTTTATTTGGCCCAAAAAATACAGCAAAACCTGCACGTTTATAGCCTAAAGCTTCCAACCAAACTTTTCCTAAACAAAGACTCGGAAAATCAAGCTTGGTTTGTTAAGCAGAGGTCCAAATTGACATTTAGACCTCTAAAGGTTCATTTAAGGAGATCTCACATTTCCTTTAAACAAAAAATTTAAAGCATGAAAGATATTTACTATCATGCATATTTAACAGTAATAGCTCTGGGGCAACTGCCTTCAGTTAAGTTAAAACTGGCATAGAGATAAACACATTTTTAGTGTTTAAATTAGTGAATATTTTCTGTGGCATTGTAGTTTAGAGGTCATCTGGATATATGTCCTTTGCTCACAGAAGCAATTTTTTTTTTTTTAGAGAAAGCTTTTAGATGATCAGATAATTAGATTTTTTTTCGAAATTCAGTAATTGCCATAGGAATGTAACTGTGCTATTCTACCGCGAGTCAAAAGTTTCAGTTACCTTTCTTTAACAAGCCGTATGATCATAATACTGCTCCACATATGGCAGGATATTGGAGTGGGATGATTATCCTTCTTACCTGGACAATGTGAATTTAAGCTCCATGTCAATGAGATGGTTCAGTAGATCAAGGCTCTGCGGTTGTGGGAATTTATGGGGCATTTCGGTTTTCATGGGCCTCTGTGACTTCAGCATCATTATCACAAAACGGCAGCGAGACGGTGGTGCAGGAGGTGAAGGTTAGGGCAACAGTGTGGTTTATTTCCCCCCCACCTATTCGCTTCACTGTATTTCATTGTTCAGTGACATGGTAATATTTTTATGTGAAGTAAGAGCTTGATTGTGACTAGCAAGCATGAACTGAATGGTAGGTATGTTTGAAGGTTCACTTAATAGAAATCAAGAATTTAAATGTAAGGTGCCAGTTAATATCGAATATTGAGATTGATACCATCCCACAATATTTGTGAAATGTTTAATGAATATTTCAGGATTTATAAAGCTATAGGTTCAAATAAAAGGTTTTAGGCAGGTTAAATGTTGGTTGCAGGAGGTTCTTTTTGTGTCTTCACTTTGTGTAAAACCAGATTAGTAGGACATGAGGGCTTAAGTTTGAAGCATCCAAAAGAGTTCAGACCAAACTGTGTTTCTGCCACCTTAAAACAACTCAAAAAGTCACAAGAAGGTATTTCTAAAATCTTTTAGCTGTCATATTTGTGTTGCGCAGTTGTATAAAAAAGATTTATGTTGAAGGTGGTGGAACACCATTACAACCTTTGTTTTCTACACCTCTTTACTTTTCTGAGATGTTTACCCTCCATAAAAAAAATGCTTCACGTTTTGTTCTCAGGATGCTTCACACAGAAAGGTTGTTAGCAGTCCAACACCTCTTACATCCATTTCCAAGCACATAATCAACAACTTCTGCGTCTGTATCCTCTCAATTTAAACGTAGAGGTTCATAAAATAGCAATCTTATAATATGCAATAACAATTTTGAGATTGGAGTTCCATATGGTTGAAGTAGCAGTTTGTGTTGGTCTTGGGCTCTCCCAGACTAGACATACATAGACATGCTAGACATACATGGAAAAAACGGCACAGCTTCAAACGGAAATAGACCATTAAACAGCAAAGCATCCAAAAGATATGCACGAGCAAAATGTTATGCGTCATGGGAAATGAACACAGTGTATTACCCTCACAACACTATTCCATTTGTAGCAAATAAGGGAGGGAAATATCATGAAAATACTAAGGTTTGCAATCCTAGATTGTGAAAATCAGAAATGATTAAAGGGATATAAAAGCACTGCGCATTTAGACCACACCGCTAGATGTATTTCTACTTAAATAGTTTAGCAAAATGGGTCACATTTTCACTGTTTTCTGTGTTTGTGGAGCAAATTCTGTGCTGTGCCTTGACATAGTGAATTCATTACGATTAACTTGGGAAAATGCATTCATACAAAATTACTCACTACGTTAAAAGAGCAATATCTCACCATGACATTGCTCTTCTGGTGTACAGGCATAAAGCCTGTACACCAGAAGTACATTTGATTTGACTGTAATGATGGAGTACACTGAAAGAATGAAGGAATGTATTCATTTGTATTCAGTGCTTGAAGTTTCTACATTGATTATAGTTGTAAATCCATTACTATGTCACGGGGGCTGTGCTCCAGAACTCCTAAAGGAAAAACAGTCTGTCAATTCTCTATGTGTTGAATTACCATTTTCAATTCAGCCAAAATAAACTTGATAATCAAAGCAATTAACAATGCGATCAATTGTATTTCTAAGTGTTGTTTTAAAACTTTACCTGGTCTCTCTTTGGGATTCTGGACTTTCCCTCCTGATGACCCCTCAAGGTGAACCTTTGTATGGTTTGTCGCCCTCTGAATACCAAATATGGTTAAATTAAACATGTTCTCTTGTCTCACTTCTCTTTAATCAGTTTTCCTACCAAGCTCTCTGACTGGAGTAGTCCCAGAGCTCCACTGTTCCACTGACTGGCCTTATAAAGCACATAGCCATGGTTTCTCTTCTGGAAAAATGTAAACCTCACATCCTACTGACCATTTTGTGCTTTTTGATTGCCTTAAGCAGTTATTATCCACTACAGCGCTACAAATCAATTCTGTCAGCTGTCAGGTATTATAGATATTTGCTTGTTTGTAATGTCTTTGTTTCTCATTTAAAAAAATTTTGATTTTAAGAGTTACAGGATTTTCTCTACCCAGTTTCTCTGGATTCTCTATCTCAGTGCACTGTAGTGAGTTCCCCTATTTCACATTGGAATGGGGGAAAGGTGTGATTAATCATTCATGATTCTATTCAACTTAGTTCAGTTCTATGTATTTATACCGCACCAACTCACAACACATGTTGTCTCAAGGCAGAAAAAACAAAAGGTCAGTTTAGAATTTCTGGTCGAAGATGAAATTGGTATGTGTAGAAAACGCAGAGCACCCAGGAAAAATATGCAGACTGAACATCAAAAAGGAAATTTGAAAGAGTCCTTGCTGAGAGGCAGCAGTGCTGACTAACACACCACTCTGCACCCCATGCATCCATCCATCTTTTGTCTTCCGCATATCTGATATGAGGGTTTAGATTGTGGAACCCAGAAGTCCTTCTCCCTTCAGCCGCACTTCAGCTCATTTTGGAGGATCCTTTAGTGCCTTGATAGATCTAAAGTCCATTTAGTAACCTCTGGGTCCTTCCTGGATCAGTGAGACATCTTAACATTTTAAGGACAAGCCTTGGTAACTATTTTTTTTTTTAAACAGCACCATAAAATATTAATATTAAAAATAATAACATATTGCAGCTCGACTATTGAATTATTCTGGTATATTTTCCAAAATCCTACAAACTGCACCACAATCCTACAGCTGAAAATCCAAAAGAGTCAGCTGAGGTGAACACTGCTGAGGTGAACACTGCTGAGGTGAACACTGCCAGCATCTCATTACAATAAAAAAAAAGGATCAGCTGTATACTCGCTCTCTGAATAAGCACGCATTTTTAATTAACATTTTTTGACTATTCTGTTTTAACTGCTTGTGCTTAACTTGTTATGATTATCTTTGAACAACATGATTAAGATTTTTTTTGTGTGTGTGTGAAGAACCAAATGTTGAATTACAAAGATTAAATTTCATGTCGTCCTATGATAATACTATGATAATGAAGCTAATGGCACCACCTGATTCCCACCCACATCTAGACAGCTGGCATCCTGCAGGCACAGCAGTTTGTCAGAACCTTTTCAACATGCTGTTTACATATTAATATTCTGTTGGCAGTAAGAGCTGCCAGTTTGTCTGGAAAACACCTACAGTGGAACATTGGAAAGAATATGTAGATAGATGTCCATTCGTCCGTTCAGGATCA